GTGGCTAATCAGTCGGACACGTGGTTGCAATACACGTTGACAGACATAAGTGAATTGATTTACTGGGAGGCACCGGTGGTACTTCTAAGACCGTCTTACGGCGTGTATATATAGCAAGGGCCTAGGATCGACTGAGTAGTTATCAGTGTGGGCATCTCACGTCAGTGATTTTATTGGGATGTTTTGACACACCGAGCACAGCTATGCCAGGTCCTTCGATTTTGGTCCCGAAATACTTCCAGTCAGCACCCACCACCTGTTTGATGCATGTGCGCCACCTCTCTTGAACCCACTTGTTTTTTTCTCGTGGTACCATGCACTGGTGCTAATGCGCCACATCCACCGGTTTTTGACAAGAAGAGTAACGTGCCCTGCCCATCAGATTTTACTTTTTCGTATGGTTGTAATGAGGCCCTGTGTGCTGCCGCTCATTTGACAAAGAGTGCAATTGTTTATACGGAAACGATGGGATACTTCATGCATTTATCCCGCTTTAAAATCCTCGCTTATACACGCCCAGATCTCACGTACAGACCCCAAAAATATGCAGATTTCTTTGGTGGGAAACGACTTCGTGAATCAGACAAGATAAAAAGCTGAAAGTCAGCAGCGATCTCGTAGACGTTTGTCTGTATAAGTAGCATATTTTTCAAATATAAAATTCCATTTCTTTCCTCAGGTGAAAGCAGCGGATCCATTTGCAACCACATCTACTGAAGAATCAATCGGAACAGAACAACAGGTATCGTCGCCCAAAAGTACCACTGAAAACCCTGCCGCCGATGATCGAGGAAGCGGCCCACGGCCTTATCCAACACGTCTTGAAGATGACCGATCGAGTCGTGCTACCGGATCCGAGCCTGCTTCAACTGTTAGCGATGATTTGAAAACCACTGATTCGACAAGTTTTACTATCAACAATGGTACCAATACTACTACCAGTTCTACGCCCTCATCTTTGCCATCAGAACATACTACAGAAGCGAGTACCAATGCACCAACAGTGAGCAGTGTTTCTGAGGAAGCAGCTTCAAATACATCAACAGAGATACACAAGAAACCTGTAATCGTTGAAGCTGAGACATCACGTCAAACAGCAGCAGCCGAATCTCCGGGTAAATTCAAATTTCAACTTTTTACTTACATAATTTAGAAAACTACTTGAGGTGACGTAGAAACAAATGAGATTGCTCAGTTGACTAAGAGATGAAAGCAGTTAGATTTTATCTCTTGGTCAACGTGCAAGAGATTGCACGTTGACCAAGAGATGAAATCTAATTGCTTTTACTGTTGTTCTTTGTCTAATCTGTTTTTTTTTTTTTTTTTTT